AAACACGGCGTGCGCATCGGCGGTGCCGGAGCCCGTTCTGACGGGGAGCAGTAGGGTTGCGAGAACTGGTGACTGTGTATTGACCTGAAACTGTAATGTCAAAATAATCACTTCTTATAGAGCATTATTTAGTGTGTTTTTGGATGAGTCCTTAAACAAAAACAAAACCGTTGTCTGGAAGAGGGCATGATTCTTCAAGAGCCGTGGCAGTGGAGGGCCACTAACTGAACCAGAGCCTGGGCAAGTGAGGAGTGTGTTTCACAGCAAGAGGGAGGCTTGGCTGGGGTTCCAGTAGCACAGGGGATGGAGGTAGAACTCGGGCTTCTTGTTCATGTTGGGAAAGACCAGCCTCTACAAGCACACATCACTGTGCTCAGGCTGGGAGGCACGTGTGCATTGCATCATTCTACAGCGATTGTTCTGAGGGACTTTATTACATGTTTCTATTAACTGAAATGCTGTACCACCAGTTTCAAATTATATTTAAAACATTACCTGGGGAGACAAAAATACATTTTATTAAAGCCATGTCATCAACTGGCTTGTGATCTAAAGTTTTCAACCGTAATTATCAAGTGAGTTGTCTCTTAATATCTTTTAGGAATCTAGTTCTTATCACCTGTTTTTTTAAACAGACTTTATTTTGTTAGCTTTACGACTCATGACTCATACACATAATTAGTACAAATGAGACATTAACCTGGGAAACGAGCCTCCTGTTCATCTAACTTTTGGCAAAGGTGGGCTTAGCTTCTTCATTGAAAATCGAGTCACAGTACATTTGGGGCTGATAGCTTGATTTTGGACATTTTATGCTTACTTTTTTCATTACTTATCAAAATACCATTTATATGGAATCCTCTCTTTGCCAAGAGGTTAACATTTTATTTAAAAAAAGGATAGCCCTAACCGGTTTGGCTCAGTGGATAGAGCGTCAGCCTGCGGACTCAAGGGTCTCAGGTTTGATTCCGGTCAAGGGCATGTACCTTGGTTGCGGGCACATCCCCAGTGGGGGGTGTGCAGGAGGCAGCTGATCAATGTTTCTTTCTCATCGATGTTACTAACTCTCTATCCCTCTCCCTTCCTCTCTGTAAAAAATCAATAAAATATTTTTTTTTAAAAAGAGGATAATTAAACTTTGAACAAGTGTTGGCAGGATGTGGAGAAGTGAGGACTGTCATGTTGTTCGTGGGAGTGAAATGACCTTCACTTTGGCAAACAGTCTGGCCGGTCTGTGCGCCTACTGCACAGCCTGCCTGCTCCTCGTCCTGGTGCGGACCTCCCGGAGGCCACGCAGCTTAGGAAGGAGTGCTGGCTGGTACGTGGGACAATGTAGGCAAATCTATAAGAAGCCAGACCCCAAGAGTACATTGAAGGGCCCTTTCCGTGGAATTCCAGAGCAAACAGGCTGGGCCGTCCTGCAGAGCAACAACCCCCGGACCAGGGGTTGGGTTGAGGGTCAGTAGGACACCTTCTGGGATCATGAAAATGTCCTGTATCTCGGTGGGGTGGTGGCTACACTGTGAGTTTGAAAACGTGCTACCACATTGGAGTGTGACCCGGGCATGGGCGAAGGGTAAGGAAGTATTGAGTCACTTGCAAATCCATTCACCCAGTCATATTAAGCATTAATCTTTCAGCATTAATCATTGATCATTGGTCATTGGTCGGAGGCTGTGGCAGGCATTGGGCCAGGTGCTGAGGCTGCGATGAGCGAGGACTGTGGGAGTCTGGTGGGCTCTCAGTAGCTAGAGCCACTGGTGTAAGTGCTCTGTGAGGTTAGTACTTTGTATGTGAAAGTATTGCAAGTTGGAGGAATGAAGTCCCTTAGCGTTTCCACAAGTAGATTTGTGCAAGTTTGGAGAAAGAAGGGGATGAGCCCTAGCTGGTTTGGCTCAGTGGATAGAGCGTCGGCCTGTAGACTGAAGGGTCCCGGGTTCGATTCTTGTCAAGGGCACATGCGCAGGTTGTGGGCTCGATCCCCAGTAGGGGTGTGCAGGAGGCAGCCGATCGATGATTCTCTCTCGTCATTGATGTTTCTATCTCTCTCTCCCTCTCGCTTCCTCTCTGAAATATATACATATATATATACACCAGAGGCTCAGTACATGAAATTCGTGCACTGGGTGGGGGGTGTCCCTCAACCTGGCCTGCACCCTCTCCAATCTGGGACCCCTCGGACATCCCTCTCACAATCTAGGACCGCTGGCTCCTAACCGCTTGCCTGCCTGTCAGCCTGATCGCCCCCTAACTGCTCCCCTGCCGGCCTGATTGCCCCCAACTGCCCTCCCCTGATGGCCTGATCGCCCACAACTGCCCTCCCCTGCCAGCCTGATCACCCACAACTGCCCCTCCCCTGCTGTGACCTCCGCGTGCGCAGCGGTGGGGACACTGGGACCGGCTTCCTCTGCGCAGCGCATAACCGCGGGACCCCCAGGCCTCACCGCGAGGAGCAGCCGCCGGGGCCCTGCCTCCACTTTGCATGTGGCCATCTTGTGGCGATGTCGCGCGAGGGCGTACACCACCTAGGCTTTTATTATATAGGATATTTATTTATTTTTAAGGGAGATGATATGACCAGGTAAGTGATTATGGGGGTGGAGGGGCTTCTGGTTGGGGGGAGTTGGTTAGACCTGGAGATGGGTGGCTATATTTGCCATGGAGAGTGGGTGCTGTCAGGGCGAGGCTGGGGAGCATCGGTACTTTCCCTGGGACCCAGAGGTGGAGAACGTCGGCCTGGGGGACCCTGCGCCCTGTGGGAAGGACCTTGGGGCCAGCAGAGGGCCAGTGTGCATGGAACCTGAGCTGTCGCTGGGAGGATTTTTCTGCTGATTTACTGGTCTTGGGCGTGGCTTGTCTGCTCTGACCGGACTCACACTCACCAGGTAACTCCCCTTGATGTGCCCAGGGAACAGGATTTGGTTTCTTCCTATCAGATGTAATGAAAAGAAATAAGCAAGGAATTAGGTCATAGGTTTGTTCGAATAAATCTGGTTGGTGTTGAGAATTTAAAATTGCCCATAAGAGGGTTAGTTTTCATGAGGAGCATGCAGGCGATAGGCCCCTCACAGAAGGATCGGATTTGCGTCAAAGGTTTTTGTTTCTTTAGACTCTGAAAGGGCACTGCTCTTTGCTAATGTTCACAGTGAACAACTAAGGGAATATGTATTAAAATTTAAGATGTTGCAGGTTTGTTGAATTACTAGTTTGTGGTGCTTGTGTTTTTATAACCTGCTTACAACACAATTAAATTGCACAGGTGTGTCACTTTGCAATAACCCGTTGAGCTGTGCACTGTGATTTATACAGTTTCCTGTATGTCAGATCCACTCCCAATAAAATTGTATTACACACATAACATATAATAGCTGCACTGCTTTATGACAACATGGTGCCTCTTAGTTTTGTAGTGAGAAACATGCAGACGACGCAGCACATGCACAGAGCTCTGGCTTGTTCACAGCTATAAGTAGCAGAATCCTGGGCAGCTCATTTCTCTCTGTCTCTTCACATTGTTCTTCTGAGCCATTGGTGGGGAAAGGAGACCAAAGAGATAGTCTGTGACTTGTTGAATGGACATAGTTTTTAAGGAGTAAAAGTTCTGAAGGTTTAAAAAAATCACCTTTCGTTGTAAGTGGAACATCTCAGTAGGTGGAAATTAGCAACCGTTTATTAGTGTTAAAACAGAAAGTTTGATGATTCTGCCAGGCATTTTTGGTAGCATAAAAAAATTTCTTTTCAAATGGAAGTTTCTATAACTTGGCTGTTTACAATATCTGGTTTTGAAAAGGGCCTTGGTCCATATTGCTTGCCCAGGATCTTAGCTAAACAGAACAGGGGTCCCAGTTATGACTGTTGAACAAATCCTGATTCCATTTTCCTGGAGTCAGGAATGTGCTTGAACATTGTGAGGTTTGGGGGAGACAAGTCAGAGGAGGAGGCTGGGACCTCTGTTAAAAAAACAAGAGGGGCCTCGCCGGTGTGGCTCAGTGCTTGAGCACTGACCCATGAACCCGGAGGTCCCGCTCAGGGCACTGCCTGGGTTGCGGGCTCCATCCCCAGTAGGGAGCATGGGCGTGCAGGAGGCAGCCAATCAATGATTCTCTCTCATCATTGATGTTTCTCTCTCTCCCTCTCCCTACCTCTCTGAAATCAATAAAAATATATATTTTTTAAAAGAATACAGGAGGGAAAGACAAGTATCACATGATCTCACTCATATGTGGAATCTAATGAACAAAATAAACTAATGAACGAAATAGAACCAGATACATGGAAGCATGCAACAGACTGATGTATTTCAGGGGGGAGGGGGCAGAGATTAACCAGAGAACTTACATGCATATATGCATAACCCATGGACACAGACAGTAGAGTGGTGAAGGCCTAGGGAGCAGGGGTGGGGGGACAGGGTGGGAGGGGTCAATGGGGGGGAGGGGGCATCTGTAATACTTTCAACAATAAAGATAAATTTTAAAAAATATAAGAGGGCGGAAGGTAAGAGCACAATGGGCTCAGAAGTAGAAAGTGGAGGTCTGAGGCAGGACAGTGCGCACGCCTGGTTAGCAGCAGCGGGGTTGGAGGGACGCAGGCCTGGCCAGAATCGGCCCTGGGCACGTCCCTTTCCCTTCCCACCACACAGATCTAACGCAGCAGGCTCGCAGGGCGCAGGGCGTGCTGAGCGGGGAGGTGCTGTGCGGAGGCCCGGGACAAGGGCTCCGTATCCTGCTCTGCCTGTGGGCGCCACCTGCCCGGGCTGCTTGCCTCAGCTCCTGTGCTGGCGTTCTCATCCGTAGGATGGGGATATGCTAGTCCCCACCTGATATGCTGGTGAGGCTTGAGCAGTCGTAGATGACAAGTATGCGACTCAGGGCGGAGCACCAGGCGAGCGTGTAAACATGCCGGTCTGTCATCGTCTCCAGCAGAGAACGGGCCCGCTCTCGGGCTCCGTCAGCTGCCCTCCCCTCCGTGTTACCGTCGGGTGTTCGTCCCCACAGGCATCTGTCTCTAACGGGCCGGTCCCCCCTGTAGGCGCTGACAGTTAGTGTCTCGAGCCCAGTGCTGTGTGTGACGAAGCTCTCGACTGAGCAGAGCTCTGATGAGAAAACAGGTCGTGTGTGCTCTCCTGACTCAGGAAGCCCGTGTGCGCCCTGATGTGCTTCTGACACCCGGGAAGGGGTCGTGCAGAGGGTCCCAGCTGTGCTCTCTCTGCAGGTGGGGCACCCACGGGTGGAGCTGACCCTCTCAGAGCTCCAAGACATGGCAGCCAGGCAGCAGCAGCAAATCGAAAACCAGCAGCAGATGTTGGTCGCCAAGGTGAGTGTACAGAAGCCGAGGCGGGAAACGGGCAGAAGCATGTTCTCCAAACGGGTCCTTTAGGTGAGGTTCCTACGCTCCCAGGTAACTCTCGTCTGCAGGACCAGGCCACGAAGTCTCAGCGCCGTTTCTCTGTCATCTCCTCCCTAACAATAAGCACACGCGTGGCTTCCAGGCGAGGGAGGGTGTCAGGACAGGAGCACTGGACCCTTGACCTGCACACACAGACACGCTGGGAACGATCGACCTTGCCCCATTGTGGATAAAATTTAAGGGTGTTTTCTGTTGTCGTCTCCTCTTCCCGCTGGGTGTGCTCTCAGCTGTGTCGTCGGCCTTGGCGTTCTGGAGGAAGCCCGCGGTCCATGACCCCCTGCTGGTCCCGGCCCCGAGGCAGGACACTGGTCATCAGGCTGCCCTGGCCTGGGCCGCTCCGAGGCCCCGTTTGGTGACTGTGGTGAGGGGCACAACGAGCTCTACGTTTGTGGCTGAGACTCTGAAACAGCAGGATTTAAAGTTTTTCCAAACGATGGTTTAATCATGGATTTTCAAGTGAAAACCAGACCTGTCATCCATGCCCTCTGGAAACGGCTCGCACTGCGACGAGCGAGACGTCCTGAGCTGCTGAGAGCCCGTAGCCTCGCTGCCCGCTCTTCCTGCTCCCTCTGCCAGAGAGCCCCTCTTTCTCTGTATTCTTTCCCGGTACAGTGGACGTGCACTATTACACGAGTTCCCAGGGTGCAGCGTAGCAGTCAGACATTTCCATAACCTACACAGTGGTCCCCGAGAAGCGTAAGGCCCCCTTGGCACCATAGTTATGATGATGGTATTGACCGTGTTCCCTGTGCTGGTCTTTCCATCCCTGGGACCATTCTTTTTTTTTTTTAATATATTTTATTGATTTTTTACAGGGAGGAAGGGTCAGGGATAGAGAGTTAGAAACATCGATGAGAGAGAAACACCGATCAGCTGCCTCCTGCACACCCCCTACTGAGGATATGCCCGCAACCAAGGTACATGCCCTTGACTGGAATCGAACCCGGGACCCTTCAGCCCCCAGGCCGATGCTCTATCCACTGAGCCAAACCGGCCAGGCTCTGGGACCATTCTTAACTACAGTTTGTACTTCTCAGTCCCTTCACTTTTCCACACTCCCCCACCCCCTTAGGTGGCCATCGGCAGTCTGTTCTCTGTGGCTGTGAGTCTGTTTCTGTGAAGTGTGTTCGTTTATTGTTTCTTAGATTCCACATAGAACTGAACCTGTAGATTTTCTTAACCATATGTCCAATCCAACTTTTTTCATTTATCGAATGATCTTGTAATTCATTGTACTGTCCACTTTTATGTAAATGATAGGTTAAGGTGCACTTGTTCTTAAAAGTTGTCTTATGAAGTTTATTGGACTTATAAGAATAAAAAACAATTAGAAGTTAAATACATTGGAAATATTTCATCTTATTAATAAGATTTCTAAGATGAACTGTACATAGTATTATGTAATTATAATATTTTCTAATTCTACTTTTTATTTCCTTTCCAAATATTGATCCAAGAGTATTATTGTTGAGGAAATTCTTAGGTATTTTCAGGGTGTGAACCTCGAGTTCACGCTGACTTCACATGTGTCAGTGTGTGATGCCTGCACAATCGCACAGGGAGGTTCTGTACGTGCATATGGGCCTTGAAAATTAATGCTAACTTATCCTTAAGGTGTGTGTTCAGATTAATGGGGAAACTACTAAAGTGGATATATTTTACTTTAGGGTTGTCCTGTTCTTGTTTAACTATAAAATGTTCCATTAGCCCTAGCTGGTTTGGCTCAGTGGATGGAGCGTCAGCCTGCGGACTGAAGGGTCCCGGGTTCGATTCCGGTCAAGGGTATGTACCTTGGTTGTGGGCACATCCCCAGTAGGAGGTGTGCAGGAGGCAGCTGATCGATGTTTCTCTCTCATCGATGTTTCTGACTCTCTATCCCTCTCCTCTCCTCTCTGTGAAAAATCAATCAAATATATTTTTTTAAAAATGTTCCATTAGTTTTGAAGAAGCTAATCCTAAAGAAAACAAACACTTCCTGGGCTGTGGGGTGTCACTCAGCAAATGAGAGGTTTATCTCTTATTTGATCACTCACCCCTTTTCAGTAGACAGCCCCCTGCTGGCCGCGCCACTTCCTGTAGGTGAAAGGGCCTTGGAAGCCATTGCAGCAGAAGCCCTTGGGGCAGCAGGAAGCTGTGGGCTGGCAGACAGGATGGATGAGCCGGTGGTGCCTGAGCAGCCCAGGCTGCCTTCTCCACGCGAGGCTCCTGTGGGAGCACTTGCACGTTGCGTGGTCGGCTGGTGCCGAGCGAAGCCCACTTGTGAATCCCGACTCTCCCCTCACTTCCTCCAGCGCAGTAACCAGTGTTGTGCCGTCTTATGTGCGTGTGGCCCCTCGGGCGTGTTCATGGTTTTTTTTGTTAATCCTCACCCGAGGATATTTTCCCATGACCTTTTAGAGAGCGTGGAAAGGAGGTGTGGGGAGAGAGGGAGGGAGAGATCCACTGACCTCCCCCCGCCGGGGCCAGGGATCAAACCCGAGACCCTTTGGTGCGCGGCTGACGCTCCAACCACTGAGCAGCACAGGCCAGGCCCTGGAACATTTCTTTCGTATTTAAATAGGTGATACTGTGGAATGCACTCCAGTTTTTTCGTGTCTAAAAGGAAGCATGCATCGCAGTTTTCAGAGTGAGCTGTTTTTCTCTCTCGTTAGGAGCAGCGTCTACATTTTCTAAAGCAGCAGGAGCGCCATCAGCAGCAGTCTATTTCTGAAAATGAAAAGCTTCAGAAACTGAAGGAGCGAGTTGAAGCCCAAGAAAACAAGCTGAAGAAGATCCGTGCCATGCGGGGGCAGGTGGACTACAGCAAGATCATGAACGGCAATCTGTGTACGTCCCTCCGCTTGCTCCCACGCTCACGGGCCGGGAGGCAGACGCAGCCGGGTTTCTGCACACCGTCGGTCATGCCTGAGCCGGAGCTGGTGTGGAGAGTGCACTGCTCGCCGAGGGGCAGAGGGCGGGCGGGCCGGGCTCAGTGGTCTGGGGTCTCCCCGCCCAGCCATGCAGCACTGGCCCAGCTCCTCAGGGGGCCTGTCATCATTAAGCGGCTGAAGTCTCACCTGCGTCTAACGACAGACACGCAAATGCGCACTTTTTGTTTTTGTCAGACGGGTCTTTGTTACCCTGTTCATCCAGCGCGTGCCTGCTCTGTGTCCCGTGGCGACAGAGCAGACGGCGATGGCCTGCCTCACGGAGCCGGGTCTGCTGGTGCCTCGAGATCCCCAGGTGGCTGTGGGACTCACTGCCCATCAGAGAGTATCCACTCGTGAGGGAGAATACTGTTTGCCATGCGAGCAAGTCACGTGTGTCCCGAGGGCTGCTGGACTGTATCCTGGGTTATGGTGTCACAGTCTCCTCCCTGGGGTCTGGCCCTCGGTGATGCTGGAGTTGAGTTAAATGTATAGACAGGAAGGAGTCTCACCAAACAGAAATAACACCACCCAGGAAAGGAGACTCGCAGCTGAGTGACGTTCTCTTTCTTGTGGGAATTACAGCCGCCGAGATAGAGAGGTTCAGTGCCATGTTCCAGGAGAAGAAGCAGGAGGTGCAGACGGCCATTCTGCGCGTCGACCAGCTCAGCCAGCAGCTGGAGGACCTCAAGAAGGGGAAGCTGAATGGGCTGCAGCCTTACACCGGCAAGCTGACGGGCCCGGCCGCCGTGGAGCTGAAAAGGCTGTACCAGGAGCTGCAGGTAACGGGGGTCCGGGATGGGTTTAGTGTCGCGTCCTGATCTCCAGGTTTTCTTCTGTGGCTGGAGACCTCAGCTGCTGGGGACACACTGATGGGTTCTAACTTGATAGAGGCAGGAAGTGTAGGTTCCACCACAGTCAAGTATAGAACATCTCCATCAGAAGCCCCCCCCTATAGAACATCTCCATCAGAAGCCGTCACCGCCCCCCGCTCCCCCCCCCCCCCCAAGCAGTCAGGAACCTCCTCTCCATCTCTGTAGCTCCGCCTACTCTGGACACTTCACATATACAGGTTCGTGCAGTGTGTCATGTGTGGTTCTTTGTGACTGGCTTCTGCCCGCGTTTTCAGTGCAGAATTGAACTGGCAGTACAATGAACTAGTAAAGAATTAAGCTTAGGTGATCTTTAAGGTGTCTGTGTAAACTGTTCTGATGAGATTCTTAGATGCCTGCTGTTCAATCCTTGACTCAGTCAGCATGAGCTTCTGTAACAAAATACTGTAGACGAGGAGGGTTACCTAGACCCTGAGGTCTCACAGTTCCGGAGGCCGAACTCCGGGATCAGGTGCCGGCAGACACGGTTCATGGAGGGTCTGCTTCGGCTTGAGGACGGCCGCCTTCTCACTGTGCCCTCACAGCTCTGGTCTCTTCCTCTTCTTTTAAGGACACTTACAAGAACCCCATCACGGGTCCCATTCTCACCACCACTGCTAAGCCAGACCCCTCCCAGAGGCCCACCTTTAAAGACCCCTGAGGCTGAGGGATTCCGTATGGAAATTCTGGGAGAACACAGACATTCAGTCCATAGGAATCCACAAGATTCCCATTTCTCAGAAGTTGTCATCAGCAGGTGATGTTTCAAGCCAGAAGCAAGTTTTGCAATTCTATTAGTACTCGGTAGAAAAAGTATTATATCATTTTATGCAATGAGAATATTTAATTAGAGTAAATTAAATATCACGTTTGTTGCTGTTAAGTTCTCTAACATAAATGCATACAAATAAAATATAGAATTTTATGGCTTTCAACATTTTGTTGTTATTAACCCTCACCAGAGGGTATTTTTTCCATTGCTTTTCAGAGAGAATAGGAGGAAGGGGGGAGAGAGAAAGAAAGAGAGAGGGCGAGAGAGAGAAACATCTATGTGAGAGAGATACATCGATTGGTTGTCTCCTGCACATGCCTCAACCGGGGCCGGGGATTGAGCCTGCAGCCCAGGTATATGCCCTTGACCGGGGATAGAATCCACAACCCTTCAGTCTGCAGGCTGGTGTTCTAACCGCTGAGAAACACTGGCCAGGGCTATTTCTAATTTTTTTTTACAGCAACCTATGTTAAGAAGCATGTTCCCCATAACCAATGGACACAGGCAGTAGGGGGGCAAGGGCATGTGCTGGGGGGCAGAGCAGATGGGGAGAGGTCAAGGGGGGAAAAGGAGACATGTAATACTTTCAACAGTAAAAAATTTAAATTAAAAAAATAGCGTGCTCCCTGTCCAGTGCATGCATACGGCATGTGCTAGTACACGTGTGCATCTGGAGCTGAGCGTGACAGGACTCAGGTTCTCTGTGTGTCTCTGTCAGTTCGCTATAGTGCTGGCTGCAACCCACTGAAGCGATAGAACATGGTCGGGCAATTGGGCCATCCTTGGTGAATCCCCGCTGCCTCTGCAGTGAGGTGCCTCCTTAAGTGGCCTGTGGGGGGTGGAGAAGACACCTCTCCTTAGTGCCCTAGAGGAGTGTTCAGGGCACTTGTCACTAAACGCCATCCCTGAGGACGGAGGTATGGTCCCCACTGTCATTACTGGTGCCAGTCATCCCGTTTGCTTCAAAGAGGACACGTGGTTGCAGATATTTGCTCTTTTTTGCTTCATAAGAGATCCGCTGGCTCCGCCTGGGCTGTCCCTGTGAACTTGTGCACCAGCAGCAGTGCGCTTGTGTAAACGCACATCAGGACTCAGCGACTTCATCTTTTCTTACCCTCCCTGGCAAGGAGAGTTTGGCCGTTTAATGCCAATCATACAAGTTGTATTTTCTATGTTGCAGATTCGTAACCAGCTTAACCAGGAACAGAATTCAAAACTGCAGCAGCAGAAGGACCTCTTAAATAAGCGCAACATGGAGGTGGCCATGATGGACAAGCGCATCGGCGAGCTGCGCGAGCGTCTGTACGGGAAGAAAATCCAGGCACGTGGAACAGCAAGTGTGTCCCCAGGGGAGAGGGGCCTGGGAGCAGTCCTGGTGCGTACGTAGCTCCCAGATCCTAGGTTACCAGAGAGGGCCACTCACAGGCCTACGGGCCGCGGCCCTCCCTGACGTCTCGCCTTCCTGGACGCTCATCCCTCAGGTTGGTGGGGCTGCTCAGTACGAGGTAGTGAGTGAGCTTCACCGAGGAGATGCTGACTCCTTTCTTCCCGGTTGCAGCTGAGCCGTGTGAATGGCGCGTCGTCGCCACAGTCACCCCTGAGCACGCCTGGCAGGGTGGCTGCCGTAGGACCTTATATCCAGGTTCCCAGCGCCGGCAGCTGCTCAGCCCCGGGGGACCCCATAAAGCCCCAGTCTCTCACTGTTGCTTCAGGAGCTGCCCATGGGAGGCCCAAACCCGGTAAGTGGCCGGCCCTCTTCCTGGGGAGCGTGAGCAGGAAGGGGGGCCGTGGAGCGGCGTCCTCCGAGGGGCCCCGCGTGTTCCTTCCGTCTCCCCCGAGGCACCACATCCTCCAGGGCAGCTTTGGGAGCGGTGTGCTGCCACGGTGACCATCCCATAGACAGCACCGTGACTGCTCTCCCCTCCCCCCACTCCGCGAGCCTTAGTCAATCAAAAAGTCCACAGACCCACTTTGGCCCCGGCCCACTGAGGCGTGCAGGGACCAGCCGCGGGCCCCAGCACCGTGTGGTGTGTGGCCACCCAGGCAGGCTCTCCCTAGAGACTGCGCCCCTTCCTCAGAGGAGGGTCGGCTGGTTCTCAGCAGATGCACAAGAGAGCCGGGGCTCCTTTGCAGGAGGACTCGTTATGGCTGGGGGGACACAGGCCCCGGAGCTCCCGCCATGTTGGCAGGTCCCCACCCTGCAGCAGCCCTGCACCGACGACCACAGCCCTGCGACTGGCCTGCCGGGCCTGTGGGGGGGCCCTTGGAGGCTGTGGTAGACTTGGGGCGTCTTCTGTTTGCTGACTTCCTGATCTCGTGCGGGCACCTGCTCTGCAGCTCCCAGTGGGCGGGGGCGTCCCCGGCCCTCAGATTCAGCCGACCCTCAGCAGCGTGCAGGCTCTGTGGTCGGTGTGGCCTCTAATGGCACCTCCTTTGATAAGCTGCTGTTTATAGTCCGAACCCCCCGTGGTGGGAGCAGATATTCGTCTGGTTCCAATGACGATAATTAGCCCCACCAGCCGCTTCTCTGCTGCCTTCCTCGTCACCCCTTCCTGAGCTGGGCCCGTCTCCACGTTCCTGTTCTCTGGGTCCGTGCAGGGCCCCTCAGGGTTGCAAAAGACACCTTGCAGGGCCCAAGAATGCCCTTCAGAAGCTCAGAACCAGCCTGGGTCTCTCAGCTGTGCTGTGAGGGGACCACCCGGGACACCTGCGTCACCCACACGGGGCAGAACCTGGGCCCAGCTGTGGGTCTGGGGAAAGAAAGCTCTTCGGTGGGGACGCTGACCGTGCTGTGGCTCTTCTGGTTCCGTGCCCCACAGATGGCCATGGTAGACCCAGAGTGACCCGCTCGTGGACAGTGTCCGACCTGGACATCGGGCCCGACTGCGGCTCCACACGGCAAGCTGCAGACTCCCTGACAGACCGTATGTCAGCGGGCCGGCCTGGGGGAGCTCTGTCCCTCCTGCTGCTCAGGCAACAGCCACTCTGTTTTCCAAACCGAGAAAGGCCTGGGCACCCGTCTAGACTTGAGAGAGATGCCACCTGAACGTAGTCTGCCCCTCCCTTCAGCCAGGTGCCAGGTGGGGCCGGGCCACGCACCCGGGTCCCGCTCCCGCTCGGGGAGGCTGAGCGATGCTGGCACAGGAGGGTGTTTTGGTTTTCTTTTACCGAATGAAGAGGATTTCCTGAGTTCACGGGGAGGCGTGTAGCTTTATCTCCCTTCATACTTGAAGGTGATTGTCCCTTTATAATAAAATGAAGTGATCTTCCTTCTATACCTTCTGCCTTATCCCCAGAAAGAAAATTTCTCTCTTCATCCCTCCTTCACCTTTCTGTGACTGGTTGGCCACATTCCTGGTGACCTTGAGAGAGGGCACGGGAAGTCCCAGCGCTCGGCCTGAGCGTCTGCAGTGGACTCTTTCCCATCAGCCCGAGCTTTCACGTTGGGCCTCCCCAGGGGGTGAACCCCGCCTCCCCTGGGGAAGAAAGAAAAGCACCCCAGCCCCGAATAGGCTGACAGGCCACATGGAGCGAGGTGACCTTTGGCCTTGGACTGCTCAGCAGGGCCCTGCAGCTTGGCTGAGCCGTGTGGAGCCTGCTGCCTGGAGCTGGGGTAATGTTAGCAGTGCTGCCGCAGGGGTGGACGCGGCTCTGGAGCAAGCCGGGGCAGGGCCCAGCCCGGCTCAGAGCTCTGCCCGTCCTGCACGCGCCGGGACCTCTGGTCGTGCCCAGAGCACGTGTGAGCCGGCCTTCCCATCTGGAGTTGCAGGCTTTGGCTCCGCGCCGTGTGGCGAGGAAGAGTGAGCTCCCTCTGCCCCTCAGTCGTGTCCACCTGCCGCGCTGGCTGGAGGGAGAGGACGTGCTGTTCTGCCAGGGCCCGGACAGTCCCCGGATTTCCTCCCGTCCCATGTGGCGGAGGCTGGGTGCGGCACGTCCATCAGCCCGTGCCGCTGCGGCTAGAGCCGGGCCTGCCGCTGGGAGTGAGCGGGTGCCCTTTTTCAGTTTGGAAAACGTTCTGTAAAAACGTAGCTTCTCGGTGCTTTTCTGAAAACGCGGGCTTGACTGGCTTTCTGGCCACTGCTGTGGGGCGCAGCCTGTCTCCAATCAGTGGGACCGCACCGGCCTCCGTGATCATGCCTCGCTGCAGAGCAGGGGTGGGGAACGTCGGCCCGCGGGCTGTGTAACGCCCGCAAATCGTTGGGTCTGGCCCTGCCAAGGCATCAGGGGTGAGTTAATTCAATGTTTGACCAAATAGAGCAGCCTCATTTTTAAGTTGATAATATTGTATGGACCACGAATGATGTTATAAATATCCAAATGGCCTTTGGCAGAAAAAAGGTTCCCCACCCCTGCTTTAGATGATAGAAATTTCTAATAGATCAGAGTTGAATTTTTCTTTTAACACTGAGTGGTGCAGATCAAGCCTGTTATGGAGTCAAAGGAGAGTTCTTTATTGTATGTAACTGTATCTGTAAGCAGTGTTTGGACAGTAAGGGCCCGTGCTTGCTTTGCTCGTTAGTGTCGATGTAAGGGTTTGAGCTGTGCTTGAATGAGGGCTGGCTGTCTCTGCAGACCTCTGTCCCTGGCTGGGTCGTTGCTGGAGCCCGCACACCGAGCCACGCAGCGCTGGGGGGCCTGGCCCGCAGAGGCCGCCCTGATCCCACCGCGCACTCGCAAGCTGGTGTGCGGGGAGGGGTCAGCCCTGCGGTGCCGCTCCATCAGAATGTTCCAAAAAGTGACTTTCTTTTCTGATGGGGCTACTCTTATGCTAACTCACCTAATTTAAAGACAAACTTGACTTAAGTTCTATGTTCTTTTCAAGCTAATGATGGAAACTGGCCAACACTAAAACAAAATATGAGCTCTGCGGTGAAACCAACACAGATGGCCCCTGTGGACTGGAAGGACCCGAGCGTGGAGGGGCCGCTCAGGCAGGGCCCCGTCTCCAGCCAGCCTGCGCCCCTGTCAGCTCTGGGAGCCCCGGAGAAGCTGGTAGGCCCCTTGTCATGATCCCTGGGACACAGATGAGCTCCTGACTGTCATGTTTGGCCCTTGTCTTCGAGGGTAGAAGGTGTCAGGAGGCAAATTATTCTTACTAGCGTCCCAACGACACCCAGTCCGAAGGAGTCCGTGGTCCTACGCGCCCGCGCAGTGAGCACGCCAGGCCTGAGTCAGGGTGGTTCTGTCGCAGGCGGGTGACAGCCCGCTGTGCCCGATCCCCGGCGCCCTGTGCCGGCCACAGCCGACTTGAAGGATTACAAGTCCTACTTTGTCTCCTCATGTGACTGTGGATGGGAATCTGCTTAACTTTTCAAAGGATGACTGTGTTTTCTTCACGTTTAAATTTAGGGCATCGAGATGGGTAAAATGCCACCCCCCGTCCCTGGTGTCGGCAAGCAGCTGCCGCCGAGCTACGGCACACACCCAAGTCCTGCGCCCGTGGGTCCAGGGCCCACAAACTCCCTGGAAAGGAGGAAGGAGGGCAGCTTGCCCAGGCCCAGCGCAGGCCTGGCCGGTCGGCAGAAGCCCGGCCCTCTGCCCTCCGTGGGCAGCACCCACCCGCCGGGCTCCTCCCAGCAGATCCAGCAGCGGATTTCTGTGCCCCCGAGCCCCACGTACCCGCCCGCAGGGCCGCCTGCGTTTCCCACTGGAGACGGCAAACCCGAGCTCCCACTGACTGTGGCCATCAGGCCCTTCCTGGCAGACAAAGGGTCCAGGCCACAGTCCCCCAGGAAAGGACCCCAGACGGTGAATTCAAGTTCCATATACTCCATGTACCTCCAGCAAGCCACGCCCCCCAAGAATTACCAGCCCGCAGTGCATGGCGCCTCGAATAAGTCGGTCAAAGCAGGTACAGTAGCTTGTGCTCTCCCTCCTGGGGCCAGGGAGCTGTGCTCTCCTCTAGGAACACGCCAGCCCATAGCCTCACATTCGGGCCACACGCTACTTAGGATCAAACTAGAGCCTTACCTCTCACACGCCTTCCGAGTCACGTGAGGTGGAGTAAAGGACGACACGCAGGTGGATGGTCACAGCTGACTTCCTGTCGGAGCGCCCACCCCCGGGAACTCCAGCTGCGGGAAGGGTGTGATTGCGCAGTGTGCTCCCTCTCCTGCGTCCTGGTACCTTTGCAGCTCTCCCGGGAGCCAGGGTGGGGCTCTGCCTAGACCTCATCTCCACCTCCTGCCGTCCCGAGCCAGGCCCTGGGGCAGCGGCTGGGTGGCGAGGGGTGTCTTCTGCTTTGGGCATTCCCCCCCCCACCCCCCGCCCCAAGAGCCGCAGGGGAGAACAGCCTGATTCGGTGAGGGGACATGGCCCTGGGCGCGAGGTGTTGGAGGGAGCAGGTCGGAGAACAGGGCCTAGTTCCACACGTCCCACGGTCAGTGGGCTCTGACTTGGGTGGTAGGGTCCTGCCCGTTGGGCTTTCTTAGATGTTCTTGGGCGTGAGCCGCAAGCTTCCAGACTCGCAGTTGAGGGACTCCTGGGTGCCTGGCCACCCCGTGCCCAGCAACTCCTGAGGCAGACATTGCACTGACCAGGGGCTGGAGCGGCTGAGACCCTTCCCTAGAGCTCCAGGCGGCCTCCCTGTCAGCCCGGCCGGGGCTTCCTGCTGTGCCCCTAAGTCCGAGGCTCAGCTCCGTGGCCAGAAGACAGGGACAGCCTGTTTGGGTGGGAAGCCAGGTCCATGGCCATTTTAAATGCTCGTTTGGAAAAGCCCCCATTCTGGGATCCCAAAGGCAAAAGCAGAAGTTAGATGCTCCACGTTCCAGAGTGTCGGTGAGGTTCTTTGAGCAGAGGACACGCTTGGGGCTTAAGCTGGGGCTCACCGCGTGGCCGGTGCAGCTCGTTGGCTGGAGCGTCGTCCCGGGCACTGAAGGGCCGTGGGTCTGATTGCAGGTCAGGGTGCGAACCCGGTTGTAGGTTCAGACAGGGTTAGGGGGCATGTAGGACGCAGCCAGTCAATGTTTCTCTCCATCTCCCTTCCTTTCTCTCTAAAATTAATAAAAAATGTGTTCTCTGGTGAGGATTAAAAAATAATAATAAATTTATTTTAAAATTAGGGTGCACCAACCAGGCCTGCCTCTGGTGTAAGCAGAGGTGTGTGGTGGCGGGCCCGGGTGCAGGTGCTGAGGGTCCCCGTCCTGTCTCCTCAGTGTACGGGAAGCCCGTCCTGCCATCGGGCTCGGGCTCGACGTCCCCGTCGCCGTTGCCGTTTCTTCACGGGCCGCTGGCCACCAGCACCTCGCAGCCCACGCCCCCTGCAGAGAGTGCGGAGCGGGAGCCCGAGCAGGACAGCCCGGCCCCGCCCGCGGAGGCCACGGGCGCCATGGAGAGCCTGCCGCGGCCGCTCAGCCCCACCAAGCTCACGCCCATCGTGCACTCCCCGCTGCGCTACCAGAGCGACGCGGACCTGGAGGCCCTGCGCCGGAAGCTGGCCAACGCGCCGCGGCCGCTGAAGAAGCGCAGCTCCATCACGGAGCCCGAGGGCCCGGGCGGGCCCAACATCCAGAAGCTGCTGTACCAGCGCTTCAACACCCTGGCTGGCGGCATGGAGGGCACCCCGTTCTACCAGCCCAGCCCCTCGCAGGGCCTCACGGGCACCCTGGCCGACATGGACAATGGGAACACCAATGCCAACGGGAACCTGGGGGAGGCCAGCCCTGCCCAGCCCACAGCCCCGCTGCCCGCCGAGCCCGCTCCTGCCTCGGACGCCAACCACAACGAGCTCCCTTCCCCTGAGCCTGAGGGGCTCCTCCGTCTCCAGACCACGCCCCAGGCCGTGGAGCCCGCGGAGGACAACAACAACAACGTGGCCATGGCCCTGTCCACGGAGCAGGTCCCGAGCCCCGGGCCCGAGGCCCCCTCTCCGGGGGAAGAGCCCGTTTCCCCATCACGTCCCCCCGTCGCACCCCTGCTCGCAGCCTCTACGGTGGGTACGGGCCTCGGCAGGGCCCCCTGTGCTGTGGAGGACCCAGCGCTGTGCTGGGCGCGGTGGGCGTGGCAGACGGGTCCCGGCCCATAGGGAGTCAGGCCCAGGGCAGGGCTCCACGGGCTCGTACTGGAGGCCCAGCCGGGAGGCCCGAGGAGGGAAGCTGCCCCTGGGACCTGGAGGGAGGCCGAGCTGAGGGAGCGAGCGGCTGGGAGTCCCTCAGCTGGTGGGAAGGAGCTGCCGCTCCGGAGGGAGCAGTGAAGCTGGGTGTCACCCCTGGCTCGTGGGGTCCCCTTTAAATCCAAGCTTCCTCTTCACAGAGCAAGCGGACCAACCTGAAGAAACCCAACTCCGAGCGCACGGGCCGCGGGCTGCGCGTCCGCTTCAACCCCCTGGCGCTGCTCCTGGACGCGTCCCTGGAGGGAGAGTTCGACCTGGTGCAGAGGATCATCTACGAGGTGAGCCGAGGTGAGCCGAGCGGAGCCCCTGCCTGGGCGCCCCCCACGCGCAGGCGTGGCTCACACACCCTGTGTCCCAGGTGGAAGACCCCAGCAAGCCCAACGACGAAGGGATCACCCCGCTGCACAACGCCGTCTGCGCCGGCCACCACCACATCGTGCGGTTCCTACTGGACTTCGGTGTCAACGTGAACGCCGCCGACAGCGATGGCTGGTGAGCCCCCCGCGGGTCTGGAGCACAGGGAGTGGAGGGTGAGGGGACAGGGCGCCCACTCGTCCTGGGCTGCTCAGCACCCCCCGCTTTGCTTTCTGGAAAATGTTGTGAAAGGCACAGCCGTGCTTCCCTTTTCTTAAATGTGTTTATGGATTTTTTTAAAGAGAGAGGAAGGGGGGGGAGAGAGAGAACCATCAATGAAAGAAACATTAACCAGCTGCCTCCTGCATGCCCCCTACTGGGAATCGAACCCGTGACCTCTCTGCACAGGATGAAGCCCAACCAGCTGAGCCACACGGGCCGGGCTGTGGCTCAGTCTGTCCACCTGGTCATTAATGCGCAGCCCGGCCACGTTTTCAGCAGTCAGGACTCTTGTCTGTTTAGTGGCTGGGTCGTGGCTGCGGGGCCCGGTGCTGCCGTGGAGGCCCAGCCTCCCGGGGTCGCTGTCAGCCTCAGGCAGCTGCCTGCACCTGTGTCGGGCGTCCCTCAGCCGCGCCCTCCAGGCGTGTGTGTGAGGCCCAGGACAGGTGGCGGTGGACACCACACCACTGCAGACAGCGCGGGAGGTGCGGGCACTGAGGCTCCGCAGCCCGGGGCCTGCCACTCCAGGGGCCACACACGCCTTCACCTCCCGCCCTGCAGGACGCCGCTGCACTGTGCCGCCTCCTGCAACAGCGTGCACCTCTGCAAACAGCTGGTGGAGAGCGGTGCCGCCATTTTTGCCTCGACCATCAGCGACATTGAAACTGCTGCAGACAAGTGCGAGGAGATGGAGGAGGGCTACATCCAGTGCTCCCAGTTTCTGTATGGTACGCAGGCGTCCTCTCGGCCTGCAGGGGGCGTGCGCTGGGCCGGCCGACCGGGCCCTAACTGCAGGGGCAGCCAGTTCGTTCAGAGGGAAGCCCCTGTCCCTTTGCTCCCTCCTGAGACGTGTCTGAAAGTCCGAGTCGGCAAGAGGGTGCTGTGCAGCTGGCTAAACACAAGCTGCCGGTACCGAGGAGGCGGCCAGCCCGGGAGGCCCATGGTGGGACAGTGACCGTGGGCGGGGAGGAGGGAGGCACTCAGGTCACCAGCCTGCGGGGCTTTCCTGGGCGTGGGCCGGCCCCTCACTGCCACGTGGGAGTGCCAGCTGCCCTCCAAGCAGTCACCCCACTCTTCGGTCCCCGACTTTGTGCTAGATGTGAGGTGTACGTTTCTCCCCAAGAAATGCCTCTGGACTCAGAACCTCAAGCGGCAGTGCCTACCTGCTGGGGTGTGGCCATGGGCAGCAGCTGGGCCTGGCTTCCGACCCACAGCCTGGCCTCGGCCTCGCTGGGCCGCCCAAGAGCAGCAGTGCGTCCGGTCTGGCCCCGCAGCGGGGCTCTCTCTGCCCATCCTCTGAGGCCTGACCGCTTGCCGTCCTGCCACAGGGGTGCAGGAGAAGCTGGGCGTGATGAACAAGGGCGTGGTGTACGCGCTGTGGAGCTACGAGGCCCAGAACAGCGACGAGCTGTCCTTCCGAGAAGGCGACGCCATCACCATCCTGAGGCGCAAGGATGAGCACGAGACCCAGTGGTGGTGGGCGCGCCTGGGCGACCGGGAGGGCTACGTGCCCAGAAACCTGCTGGGGGTGAGTGCGCAGCCGGGCCGAGCTTGTGCCCGGAACCCGCTGTCCAGCGTGGCCCGTCCTGCTGGGGCCCACGGCAGGCACTGCCCTCCCCACGCTCAGTGCTCTGCAGGCGGGCGTTTGCGGTCGGCCCTGCGGGGGGCCCAGCCCAGCTGCTCAGTGCCTTTTTCTCGTGGGAACTCCCTCGGGCGCCCCATCTCACCCCAGTCAGAACTCTGCAGCCCAGAAACTTGCTTACTGGGGAGGGGGGAGGGGGAGAGCCTGCAGGTCGCTGTGAGAGGGGGGGCTCGGACCGGGTGGAGGTGGGCTGGGTGCGGGTGCTCTGGGGGTCGGGCAGGGCCTCCTGGGCAGCTGATGGCAGCTGGACCTGGACGCTGTCCTTCCAGCTGTGTCCTCGGATCCAGCCCCGGCAGCGAACGCTGGCCTGAGCCCCCGCCAAGGAGCCGCTGAGGTCGCCTGCGTCCCTGCGCAGAAGCTGGAGTCTATGGTGCTCACGCAGCAGAAGCCCACAATGTGAACCGCAGGCTCGGGAGGCCTCCTCCAGCCGCCTCCAGAGGACTGAGCTTTGCCAATGACTGTCAACCCAAATAAATGCCCAGCTTTCTACGCCTGTGCCAATAGAAGCCCTAGAGTGAACCCCCGGATGGTTGCCAGTGGAGACCAGTGGCCTGACTGGCCCCAAGGCCACCCTCACGCTCCAAGTCCCTCACCAGCAGTGAGCGCGCCCACTGCTGTGCGTGCTCCCCCGAGCCCTGCCCGCCTGCCGCTGGGCACCTCAGCACCAGGTCCTTCCCTTCATGACCAGAGGAGCCTGCGGGGAAACCCGTGCGGTGGCCCTGACATGGAGCTCCACTTCCTGTTCCGGCCCGTGGTGCGGGGCTGGACTTCAGGCCCCAGGCAGGGACCTCAAGACCAAGGGACCATGGCCAGGAGCCTGTCAGCACTGACCTCCTCGCTCCCTTCTCTGCAGCCCCTCGCTGCCCAGGTGTGGTTCTTACCCCCCTCAGCCCCTCGGTTTTCATTAATTCACAGGAACCAGAAACAAGAGAAATGCCATTGGCTGTGCCTGGTTGGGGCTGGGTGGGCCCTGCGTGGAGGCAGACCCTGCCCCCCACCGGCCAGGAGCCTGAGGTCGGTCACTCGGGTGGCATGGTCGTCAGGAGGGGCAGCTGTGGGCATGAGGGTGGGCCTCCCCGTTGGGCCAGCCGTGATGTGGTGACCTTGGCAGGCCCTTCACCGAAGGCAGCTGAACGCACAGGCTTTTATACAAAAGTATTTTTGACGAGACATTTGCAACTACCAGGATGATGCTGGCGATGTCGAGAAGTCGTTCTCATGAAATTCCAGGCCCGTAGGCTTTATTGTCCATGGACGAGTCTGTGTATAGTTCTGTATAGACGTGTGTATAGACCGTTGCTGTACTGGTCCCCTTTAAGCACTGAGTGTACACAGTGCTGATGGAGCGTGAAGACCCCGGGGCAGCCTCTGCCGGGGCCCCTCCACCCGATGCCGTGTAACGTGCGCAATAAACACTGTTTCCCCGTGGCTGCGAGTCTGTGTCCTGAGTGATCGGAGCCGCCACAGGGACGCGCGGTGGTCCCGACAGTGAGGCAAGGCCTGGCCCATATTCTCAAAATAGGGTTTAATCAAGCTTCATATACAAATTGTTGTACAATTGTTCTAATAAAGTGAAACAGTGAGTGAAAAGTACAAAACACACAGCTGGCTCCTCCCCTGTAGTGAAGTATCAAGGCTGGCATAGCCCGCGTTAGTGCCATTAGTGCCATCTGCAGCCCGGCTCCGGCAGGCCCGGATCACCCGGGAGACAATGCATGAAGACGAGGGTCCAGAACCTCCTGGTAAGCCTGGACTCGTACAAACATGGCAAAGGTTATGCTACAAACAGTTCAGCGGTCGTGTAGCTGGGTCTCCACCCACTTAGGCATCACCAGGAAAACGCAGGCTCTAGACCCGGAAGCTGTTTGGAGCGTTAGTAAACGTGTACGTGTCGCATGAGGTAAGCGCACACGACTGTTCCTCCAGAGCCTTGCGCTGCCTTCCCACCGCGCTTGGGGTCGGGCGAGGCAGCGAGAGGCTCCACGCTCCAGCCCGTGCAGTTACTGGTCCCGAGATTCGTGGAGGAGCTTGGCGGCCTGCATGGCAACAGAAACAGAACTGTGCTGGTCCTGCCCGGCTGGAGCTGGGGGCAGCCTCGCCCTGGGGAAGCTGGGCCCCTCTCCTGCCTGCCCCCGTGCCAACCACCACGGCCCGGCCCGTACCTTGTGCATGGCTGCCAGCCACGCCGTCGCCTGCCTCCTGCTGCCGTGTGCATCCTCCCCTGCAGTCAGCTTCAGCTGGGCCACGCCCTCCGCCCCTGGGGCCGAGTACTGCAGGGACATGCCCGTGGCCCGCGCGGCGCCCCCTGGGGGAGGCAGGCAGCAGGCTCAGACGCCACTCCCTACCCTGGTGCAGGTCTAGGAGGTGGCAGGGGCCTGTGCTCAGCTGTCACCCCTGCCTGCACCAGGGCAGAGGCCAGGCGGTCAGTGCTGCCCACCTGAGGACCAGGGTCACGGCCGGGGGAGCTGTGCAGGGCTTAGCACCAGGGAGGCACCAGCCCAGGGGCCCATCTACCGATACTCGAGCTCCCGCCGCGATGCCACGCGGGGGACGGGGCGCGGAGATGGTGCCCATCTCTGGGGCCAGCTGCTCCCTGGGACGACTCCTGCCAAAACCTCCCAGGACCAGCCACTCGGGATGAGGGGCCCTTCAGTGCCCGGCAGCGAGGACGGCTATGTGGACAGCAGGCCCCTGGTGAGTCACCTACACTTTACCTGGCGGCTGCAGGAGGCCACCCATTGGGCAGTGCTCTCCTCTGGGAGCCCCTCCCTGCCTCCAGCCCTCTCTGCGCCAGGCCGGTGCGGGGAGCCCCGGTTGAGAGGCCCGAAGGCCTCCTATGACCTGTCAGGAGCTCACGCCTGCGCTCCTGTCTGTCAGTCTGGTGGCTCCACCCACCTCCTGACTGTAAGGAGTTTCACTGGCACAGCCAGGGACATGGGCCATCTCCTCTGGCTACTTTCAACAGTCCCTCGGGCTGACAAACCTGAATAGTTACTACCCTGGCCTCAGGCTCCAAGGAGGCGGCAGAGGCCCCCTGGGCTGACCTGACCCAGCTTCTCCAGACCCTGCCCTTTGCCCCAGGGTGGATCTGACTGCCCACTGGCAAGACAGCCTGTGAATAGGTGGTGACACTGCCCGCTCTGCCCCATCGGGACAGGCAAGCCCGGGGGCCGCAAGGAGGCCCTTGGAGGAGCACAGTGCGCCCGCTGTGACGGTCAGGAAGGTGCCGGAAGGGCCACCCATGCCCTGCTCCCCGACACCCTGCACCCCACCTGCTCAGGGACAGCAGTTCCAACAAGAGGTTGGGAAACAGGGGTGACACCCCCCTGGGGTGAGGAAACAGCAAATCCCCTTCTTCCCCAGGACATTCCCATTGGTGCTTAGATGCCAACCCTCTTTCAAACTGGCCAAAAGGAGTGAATGAGCATTTCTCAGAGGCCCTGTGCGACCCCCCACCTCCCGCAGCAGAGGCGGGGCATGGCCCACGGCATGCTGGGAGCGAGGCTGACCTTCGGAGGCGGGCGGGCTCCCCAGGAGGCTGGTGTAAGTGTGCGTGTCTTTGTCTAGGCAGGAAGGTGGGCAGGCAGGAGAGAAGAGCAGCCAAGAGCCATCAGAAAACAGAAAGCAAGATGGATTAAGTCGGTGGGTTCCAGCGGGAAGACAGCCCCGGGGCCCAGAAGTTCAGTGGGAAAGATCCCGGCGGCCTGGACCTCGGGAAGTTCGCACAGGAAAGCGGAGGCCTTGCGCTCGCAGACACACTCCAGCCCCTGGGATCTGGGTGCCGCCAGCCGCCCGTGGCCTGCAGCCCTTGGCCGGAGTATGGAGAGAGCTCCTGAGTAAACACGCTCAGGCGCCCTTCCTCCCTAGACACACTACCCCCCCCCCCCCCCCCCGCCATTCACCTGGCGAGTTCCCAGAGCCACGAAGCAGCGCCCGCCCACAGAGAGAGCAGGCACCTCCAGGACCTGCCCAGAGAGAGCCCCGGCCTCCGCTGCGTCCCTGCCACCCAGCTGGCCCCGGCCTCCGTTCCATGAGGGGCAGGCGCATGTACCTCCAGCGGGGAAGCCTTCCGTGAGGACCTGCACGGCCAAGATGTGTGTGACCTCGATCTCGTGGTGGCTGGCCCCGTCCAGCAGCAGGTACCTGTCAAACGGAGGGCGTCCCGGTCACCGGGGCTCACGGGCAGCTGCCAGTGCCCGAGGGCTCTGCCTCTTACCTCTGGTTGCTGGAAAGACGACAAACCATCGTTTCTGATTTCTCGGAGTTTCCAAAACTTACGAGGAAGGTGGCTCCTTGAGGCACAAAAACAAGCGTAAGTAGACAGCTCCGAGTCACCCTGTCAGCCCGACCTCCTCCCTGGCCTCAGGCCCCAAGGAGGCAGCAGAGGGCCCTGGGCTGACCCCGGCTTCTCCAGACCCCGCCCTTTGCCCCAGGGCGGATCTGACTGCCCTGCCCCAGACAGCCAGGGGACAGGTGGTGACGCTGCCCAACTCTGCCTCATGGGGCAGGAGAGCCTGGAGGCTGCAGGAGGCCCCTGCAAGGGCACAGTGCGCCCGCTGTGGGCACGGAGGAAGGGAGCGGGCGGGCAAGACAAGAGAAGGAGCAAGACAAGCGGGCGCTGCTGGAGCCCTCGCTGGGCAGGACGGTGCTGGCTCTGCGTTAGGCTCCGCTGGCCGTGGAAGCGCCAATCACCACGTCCTTCACAGAAGGCCCAGCCCAGGGCCCTGGCCTCCACACACTGCAGGAGCCACCAGGCCAGGGCCGCAGGGCCTGCCGGAGAGCTGGCCAGGGCGAGAACCAGGTGCAGTGGGGTGGAGGGGTGTGAGGAGGCAGACCCTTAGTCCTCCTGCGTCACCACCCCCCGGAAATGGCCAGGCGAAGGTCCCGCAGGCTGCTGGCCCTGTGGTCTGGGGGCCCGGTCCTGACACCCGTGTAAGAACGGCGCTGCCCGGGTGCGTGGCCCCACACAAGAGCATACCAGTTAGTGGCCCAAGCCCCCAAAGGGAGACAGCGGTCA